CCGTGTTGGAAAGAGGGATTAGTGATCTTTTCAACTTGTAATTTTCATAATTTTCTCATAAGTATATAATTTTTGGCGCAATTTTGAAGTCAGGCAAAATATTATGTCTGACGCGAGTACCCATTCTTGTTGTTTGATTAAACTGAATCGGTTGGTGTATTAAATCCTGAAATAAAAATCATATTCTTAAAATAGACTCTCTAAGCTTTTCTAAACAAATTCATTTGCTTGATTCCGATTCTATTTAATATTTTAAATAATTATTCGAATGTGACGTGTTGTCATTTTATTATATAAGTGAAATAATCATGAATCAATTGTGTTGTCCTATAATGTTGAATGTTAATCCTATTGATTATGTTATTGTGTGATTGGGAGTAATTTATGATGATGTTATGTTGAATGTGTAAATGGTGATATTGATGTGTTGGTGTATGATTGTGAAATATGTTGACGAATTAACTAATGTTTTATATGATTATGTGTTAAATTACTTATATATTGGATTATGAAATATGTGATGTTGTTGTATTGAGAATGTTGATGTTGATGATGTTGTTATATTGGTGATGTTATTGTATAATATTGGTGTTGTATTTCTGTTTGTGGATAGCAGTTTGATTAGAAGGAACTATTATTGTTGGGTCAATGTATGTTTTGTTTATTATCGTAAGGGGACTTTAAATATTATGTTGTTTTTGCATTGACATGCATTCATGATGATGTTGTTGTTGATTAAAGAGGAAAGTTGCAATCCGAGCAGGATGGATTGGTGACTTGTCTTGAATCCGAGCAGGGTGGATTCAGGGTTCGAGTAGGGTGAACCTGATTTCTGAGTGAACCAATTGTTAAGTATATGGTACCACATGCATCTCAGCATTGTCGTTCTCATGAGTCGCATAACATGAATGAAATGTATGTGTGGAATGTGATTATTTGTGATTGAAATATTGTTGTATAAGATATTGATGATGATTTGGATGTGAGAATGTGATATGTTATTATGTTGTGTATGTTTATGTAAATGTTATATTTTATCTTCCATTCTATATGGTTACTATCGAAATATACTCACTCCTTCTATTTGAATATTTCATTTACATGGGTATTGTGTAGATACTCAAGAGTAGAGACGCTGATGTGAGTGGAAGATAGATCTTCAAGCTATCTTTTTTAATTTCTTTGTTTTTAGTTTCGGGTTATGCTCTGATATGTAACACTCGGGAGCGATTTCTTGTTTATCTTGAGATATTTTAAGTAACAATGTATGCTCAATATGTTTATCTTTTAGTGTGTTTAGATTTGAAGAAGACTTATGAGTCGATGTTTTTTATTTTAACATGAAGTTTTATTATGAGACTTAAATTATTGTGTACCATAATTATGATTCCACCACTATGCTATCAGATGAGTTGGATGTCGTGTAAATATCTAAAGTATAGATCAAATGAGTTGGATGTCGTGTAAACGTCATAAGTACATTTGGATGTCTTTAAACATTGTGTTGAAATGTTTATTTAAATTAAATGTTACGTGATCAGCAGATGTGTGTATTTTGAGATGTGTAACATCCTATGTGCAAAAGTTGTGAAAAAAATCTCTGATTAATTGTATAATTATGTGTTTGGGGAAATATGATGTTACAACTACTACCACGTGATTAAACTTCGGAGCTAGTGACCTCAAGATTTTTGTCACAACACATCTTGATGTCAATGATTTTCTACATACTTTGATTTGATTCACCAGTTTCGTAACCCTAGTGAAGAAATCAGCTATGCTTTCAATTTATTTCACCCAAAGCAATTCTTTGAGTTTGTAACCTCACCTCTTTCACATTCTCCATACCTCAAAATGATTTTTCCAGAATATCCCACATTTTTTCGTTGTTTCTACATCATTCATCTTTTCAAAGTTACTTGGACTAACACATTGATGAATTTTATAGAGAGCTTTATAATCTTTCTTCTTCGATTCTTTACGTTCAGCCTTTTGTTAATTCATAGAGCCTTCTACAATTGGCGCTACTCCTTCCTTCACAAGATCTCAAAGTTCTTGATAGTAGACAACGATCTTCGCCTGCTTACACCAATTCTCATAGTTGTTTTCTTTCAGAATTGGAAGATTTGCTGAAAAATACCCGTTCGGATGATTCATAGCAATATGCTTTCCACGAATCACACAACTAGTGCTCTAGATACCAGATGTTGGAATTAAACCCAACCTTGGAGATAATTCAAATCAATCATGATGAACAAAAATCAATCTTTTTGATTGATTTCTCTTCTTGTTCTTCACTTTTCACTCGAGTGAATCAATCACACCTTAGTTGCAAGATGATTTATGCAGAATAAAATTTGAAATAGAAGAAAGATGAATTAGGGAAGAAAAGAGAAATTAGGATTTGGGAGGAAGAGGAAAGAAGAAGAAAACTTCTGCAGAGTTTCTCTCTGCCATCAAATTAAAAAAACTATTAGTCAACTTTTCTCCATACTTTATAAATGATGGGGTACCTCCCTATTTATAGCTGAGATTGCTTGTACACCAAGCAATCTTTAACAAACTAGTTAAAACATACAAAACAATGTTAAGTCTAATTCTGTCGAGGCTAGCTCCTTCGACATTTCGACACACTAGAATTCGACAACAACAAACTCTATCGAATTACATGTTTTGACACAAAGAATTATATTTTTAACAATTTCTACTTATTAGTAACCCATATCTCTCTTCCTCTCAAAACATGAATAACTCCAATCTCAAAGTATTTAGAAGTGTTTTCTAACTTTTATATAACCTCAAAAAATCTTTCACTTCTTAGGATTAAAATTCTCTCTTTTTGTGTTTTTTTCTCTAGAAAACCTCTTCCACTTGCAAAAATACTAAAACGTTGCTTGAAAAAAACTAAAATTTCAACTTAAAAAAATGATTTAAAGACAACTTCCACGATATTGTTAAGAATAATTATTCAAAATCAATATAACATTGCACAAGTAATAGATACTTGCATCCCTTAACCATTTAGTTTAGGATTTGGCCTCTGATCAGTGCATATGAAAAACATTTGTTACATCGTTCGCATAGCCAAGCATAGCAAATATTTTGAAAAGAAAGCTGAACTTTGGTTGTCCCACATTCCCACTACATAGAATAAATTAAAATCCAGCTATCTTTATTAAGGGAGCATCTATATACTTGATCATTAATAGTGTAAATAATCAACCAAAAAATACCAAAATTTCTTTATTGATAAAAGTTGAAGATGAGTAAAAAAAAGATGAGTCATTACAAAAGAGGGTGTTATTAGTTTCCCTATTGAAGAATGTTGATGACTTCACCTATTACACTTTTTGTCTTGATGCAAATATTGACTTCATGAAGGACCATCTTAAAATCCAATTTTAAAAAAGCATAAAAAATCATGTAATGTATCTTGCACTCAATAATTTGAATTCTTGTTGTTTTATACAAAAGGTTCTTGTTCTAGGTGCCTAGTGAATGGCATAGAGTTATGGTCACCCAAGTAGTATTGGGACATGTCAGATTATTTGACATATTAGAATTTTATTTTACTGTGTTTTTTATCTGTATCTTACCCCACACCATACTTTGACTCAAATAAAGCACCCTAAATACATATGGGTACATTCCTTTAACTTATTCTAGCATGATCATTGTTAAAAAAATGTTTTAAATTATGATTGATTAAGACATTAGTAAATTCATAATTTGAAATTTCTTATGTAGTCGCACAAGTGATTTTAAATTATAATACAATTGTAATCTGATGTGATTGCAGAAGCTACTACATCAGCAATATTGTTGCCGCAATTACTGAAGTACAACACAATTCTAAACCATGACTAGAATCTTACCAATCTGAGCAACCTGCGTTGTGATTACATGGTACATGTAGATATATTTAAAATCCATGTCAAAGAAGGTGACAAAAGTCCAAAACAAAGGCAATGCTTTAAATATAAAATATCAGAATTATTGGTTATACCTAATGGTTATTCCAAATGAATGGCCAAAAGCATATACTAGCCCACACAGCATTAGCAATATGGAGTAGTACAAAGTTGGAGTTATTGAAGCGCAGTCGTTAAAACCAGACCCCATAACTGTGCAGTAGCAGATACATGTCCCCTAGTTATCAAGTATTGTAGGGGTCCAAATCAGATCAGCAATATCTAAAAACTGTTTCGAAGTGACTCAAGGGACCTCGATCGAGCTCTTTGTCTATACTCAGCCAATTTTAACAAATTATAACACACGCGATATTTTGTAACACTGAAATGTAATAGTATAAAATTACAATATTGTGTACGAGTTGAGCTGAATTACCCGATTACAAATTCTATGAAAATAGAATAAAAAATTTCACTACATTAAATGAACTTTATTGTGTAATAACATACACCACCTAGCATGACCAATAAATTTTGAGAGGGACTAGTTGCATTGCATTGCATCCACTATACAAAAATGAGGTCTCTGCATTCTCCATTTTGAGGTGAAACACACAGGTCCTTTTATGGACAATAATAACTATTTTACAACAGGATTTTCAATTATTTATCAGCTAAATGAGAACACACTCTTACATAAAAGTGAAAAAGAAATAAAGCAAAAAACAACAACAACAAAAAAAAGAGAGAATGAAAGGAGCGTAGAATAAAGCAAAAGTGAAGGTCTTTCTCATACACGGATCCCCATAGAATGAAGGCCTAGCATTGCTTGCTGGAATACATTCTTTTTGTTTAGTTTAAAGGAACTTGCTTTGTTCCCTATACATAATATATATGCACACACAACACACCCTTATATTATATACAAAAACCAAACATAGTTTATAGTTTATATACATAGTTTTCTTAAACTCGGTTTTGCAACCAAGACAAAACAAAATTGTATTAAATAGTTAGGAGTTGAGACTAGACATGGTATGATTAGTATATGATTGTGTTGCATTTTGTAATCTTGTGTGAGAGAGAAAAATGAAGAGAATGGAGAATAATGATGATGCTGTTGTTGACATTAACAATGAAAATAACTGGTTGGGTTTTTCATTGTCACCTCAAATGAATGTTGGTGTTCCTTCACACCCTCATCATTCACAATCTGAAGTAGTTCCATTTCCTTCAAGCTTTTACCATAATGCTCCTCTTGGTAACTATTGTTTCTCTTATGGACTTGAACATGAAAATGCTGGTTTGTATTCATTGCTTCCTATTATGCCCCTCAAATCTGATGGATCTCTCTATGAAATGGAGTCACAAACACAAGGTTAGCTCAAATTTTTGTCTCTTTATGAAGAAAAAATGTTTTTTTTTTTTGTTGGCCACTTATTTTTTTAATCTATTTTTGTGAAGCAATGGTAACTACTTCAGCACCAAAACTAGAGAATTTCTTAGGTAGTGAAGCTATGGGGACCCCTCATTATGCATGTAGTACTAGTACTGTCTCCGAAACAATGCCTTTGAGCTTAGACAGCATGTTCCAAAATCAAGTTCAAAACATGAACAACCAACAACAACAGTTTTCATCATATTACTCAAATTTGAGAAACCATGAGATGATGTTAGAAGGGTCAAAGCAAAGTCAAACTTCAAGTGGAAATTTCCATGTTTCAAATATGGGTGAGGATCATGGACTTGGATGTTTAAAGAGCTGGGTTTTAAGGAATTTTCCGGCTAGTCATGGACATGATCAGTCCAAGATGATTGTTCCGGTCGGTGTGGAGGAAAACGAAGGTGAATCGGGTTCTAATATCGGTTCAATGGCTTATGGTGATTTGCATTCTTTGAGCTTGTCGATGAGTCCTAGCTCGCAGTCTAGCTGTGTGACAACTTCACATGTTGTTATTGAAAATTCTGTTGCAATGGATACAAAGAAAAGAGGAAGTGAAAAGTTTGAGCAGAAGCAAATTGTTCATAGGAAATCTATTGATACTTTTGGTCAAAGAACATCTCAATATAGAGGTGTAACAAGGTGTGTTTAGTTCTAAATTCTAATGTTAATAGTACTTAATGTTTTTTCCAAGATTATCCCTTTTTATGTTTTTGTCTTAATTTGTTGATCATCAGGCATCGATGGACCGGGAGATATGAAGCTCATCTATGGGACAATAGTTGCAAGAAAGAAGGCCAAAGCCGAAAAGGAAGACAAGGTAAGAATGTAACAATGTGCACGATTGATGACAAGTTTGACAAAATCACAATAAATTTTCGTTGAAGTTCTAAAATATAAATTTTGTGAAAACTACAACGTGACACCGTGATTCAGTTAAATTCGCTGTGAATCTATAGATACATTATATTCTGTCACTTTTTGATTTTGTTTATTTTTGTCATGTCTCACTCATGTTTTTGTTTTCTTTGTTTGCCGGGGAATGCCAATGCTACTCAAATATTTGATGAAACATAGTTTATCTTGGTAAGATTTCAATAGTCCTAGAAATATCATTCTGTTCATAGATTCTGCAAAAATTTCAGGAACTTGGATATCATTTAACATGTTTTTGATGTTTTTAACTAAAGAGAGAAACTAACATTTATTAGAGTCATTCCAAAATTTTGATTTTAGGTGGTTATGATATGGAAGAAAAAGCTGCTAGAGCTTATGATCAAGCAGCACTCAAGTATTGGGGACCATCCACTCACATAAACTTCCCTGTTAGTATATTTTGTTTTTACATTGTCTTTTCTCTTTTTTCATTTATAAGGCTTATCATTTTACTTTTCTTACTACATTCTACTATAACAGTTGGAAGATTATCAAAATCAACTTGAGGAAATGAAGAATATGACAAGACAAGAATATGTTGCTCATTTAAGAAGGTAAAAAGAAAACTTTGCTATGTTACTGTAATGTTACTTATTTGTTCATAACATGTTCAATTTTTTGGCCTAACCAGAAAAAGTAGTGGCTTCTCAAGAGGTGCTTCCATGTATAGAGGAGTAACAAGGTCTCAATTACTTAAATTTATACCATTAAATTTTAATTAATATTTCTATTTTTGTAAAACAAGTTTCTTTTTCAAACTGTTGCTCACTTGGTAGCAGACACCATCAACATGGAAGATGGCAAGCTAGAATTGGTAGGGTGGCTGGTAACAAAGATCTATATCTTGGGACCTTCAGTGAGTTCTTTTATACTTTTTGCTTAACTTGTTTTCAGACGCTTCAAATTGAAGACGTGTTACGTGTCTGACACTGACATGTCGCTATACATTTGCTTCTTTTTATTTATGCGTTAATATCATGTCTAGTGTCTGTATCAGTATCAGTGCTAAATGTTGTTTCTGCGAATTCATCGCGACTAGTTGTTTTCACTTAAATATGATCCAATGTTTTAGGTACTCAAGAGGAAGCGGCTGAGGCCTACGACATAGCTGCGATAAAATTCAGAGGAGCTAATGCAGTAACCAACTTTGATATAATAAAATATGATGTTGAAAAAATCATGGCAAGTAGCAACCTTCTAAGCATTGAACTAGCTAGAAGGAACAAAGAGGTAGTAAATATTACTACAACTCAATATATTGATCCTCTCAACAACACTACTCAAGAAGCCATGCAGAAGAGTATGGTTCTCTATCAATCCTCTCAACAACAACTTCAACAGAATCAACCAAGAATTGAGAACGACAGAACTCATCAATCATTTTCCTCGGTGTCTTTGGATAACATGTTTCATCATGAAGTAGCCGATGAAGCGAGTAAGATGAGAACACATTTGTCAAATGCTTCTTCGTTGGCCACGAGTTTGAGTAGCTCAAGAGAAGATAGCCCTGATAGATCAAGCGTGAAGAATCTCTCGAGAATTCCTTCAACGTCATCAAAACTATTGGTTACTACTGCTTCAAATAGTAATATGAATTCTTGGGACCCTTCTCAACATCATCTTAGGCCTGCTCTTTCCTTGCCTCAGATGCCAGTTTTTGCTGCTTGGTCTGATGCATAGTCCCTTTCAAATTTTTGTTTTGTTGCATGGAGGAACACTAATATGAAAGAAAGGATGGTGGAAGCTAGTTGAATTGAGAGTTTGGTTAATTATTCTCAAGTTTAAACTTTTTTGATATAGAAAAGTTTAGATAAGTTAAATTTCACAGGATCAGTAATGTCAAGACAGACTTTGAAATTTAAAATTCCGCTTTAAACTTTAAGTAATTTCCTTTTAAGTAGTAAGTAAAGTAAAAAGCTCTCTTTTTAAGATTTTCCATGTCCTTATAGTCGGATGTTATAGATTCGGTGATATAAATTGCTAGTGCAGTCATGTCTTGAAAATTTACAATACCTAAAAATACGATTAATCTGGTTGAAAATACGATTGCAATGATCTCAAAACTCTTTATATTGAATCTACTTTAGTAGATATCATGGATTGTAATTTAAAACCATGATTGAATCAGATGTCAAGGCTATAAAAAGGTGATACTTGAGAGAATGAAATGATTAAGGCAATATAGTATACATAATGGAGGAAACATCATTCATGATTATTTTGAACATTGCATGTTCCAATTATGCTTAGTTGGACCTCAAATATATATCCTTTGACCATAACAAACCTAATGTTGACGTCATAGCTACTGATTTTCCAATCCAGGATCATCATTGCTAACATCTTTTGCAGCTAAACTTTGTCTAAAGGTAGCAGATATTCTCTTACTATATACCTTATTGAAACAAAAAGCAGTAGGGTGCAAAATAAGATTCCTACAGAATGAAGAATGACTTTATGTGATATGATTGATGGATTAATTATCATTATCATGATGGAATTTGTCTGCTATGTTAAGGAAAGACTTATGGTTGTTAAAACATTATAAATCTTTCTTTAATTATTATAAACATTCTAATGATGTTGGTTCTCAAATGCTAAATGGCTTATGTTCATTGAAGGATAAAACATACTAATAGGTAAGAAAATACTAACATGTAATTTTTTTTCTCAGCTTCTTTCTGCATGCTTATCCATGTCAGAATGAAACATGAATTATATGCAGTCATCAAAGAACTCTAAACTCACTGTCAAGCAAATATGGACAGTTGAAAAAAATCCAATGGTTGACTTACAAATGAAAATTTTGAAACCTAAACCTTCTAATTTTTCCAATTGTTGACATCTATTAAACACGGGATTCAATATGAACTTCAGAACACAAAACGATACAGACATTCTAATACCGATTATGTGAAAAATATATGATATATATATATATATATATATATATATATATATATATATATATATATATATATATATATATATATATATATATATATATATATATATATATATATATATATATATATATATATATATATATATATATATATATATATATATATATATATATAATATTTAATATTCAATTATTCTTTTGGAATTTAAAAAAGATAAAACGTTCTAATCAAATTTAATATTTTAAACTATTTATTGATCAACATTGATTAGACACATTTTCAACTTTTTTAGATGTGTTTGAAATTTGTTAAATAAATGTTGAAGTAAAGAAAAACCCAAAATTTTAAATATTTGTCTAAATCTTTTGACAAATGTTGTAAAGTGTGAAACATATGTCGTCAAACACCACAACACACCAAATCTTAGAGATGTAATTGCTTCATAGTTTCAAAACACAATTAAAGTCAATTTTCATGATATAGAATCCATTTCCCTCTCAACGCTACCAAATACATACAATTGTTCACAAGGGTTTGATTAATGGATATTGGATAATTAATGGAATCTTTTTGGTGACAAAATTGCATTACGGGAACATGTTGTTAGGAAACTGTTATGGTCTGGCTTGACAGTTAGAATGGATCCAGTTTAACCCTCTCTTTCGGTACGGTTCATACGTCCATAACCTGAATCGTCCTCACTCTCCGTCGAGCAACATCAACCCTTTGCCCACTAACGAGTACCTCTCAGTCTGCCCGACCTCAAGTCGTGCAGACAATCATGAACCCACCAGACTGCTACCGCGTAACTTACCTCCTCCTCGGGACTAACTGTTAGTTGCGGGCATATCTTCCCGGTTTGAGCAAGTCTTGAATGTTACCTATTTTTGCGGACCCACATATCCAGGCGCAAAAACAGGAACCAATGGCCATACGTCAGGGGCATTATAGAAACTCTCACACTTGTGAGAGGCAGGTATCGAATATTCACTATTCATCACCAATACTTTAACACTTTACGTGTATCTCCTTGTTCCCACTCTTACTTGATCGTTGGAGTGTCTTGCAAGTACAATCCCTTTTTTTTCTCCTCGACATCACAGTCTGACGGCAGATCATCATCCGGCCACCTTGCAGGTTCTAATCAACCGGTAAGATCAATGGCGCCGTTTGTGGGAAACTGCTCTCCCCATCTTTCATTCCTCGAAACTCAAAGATCAAAGAAATTTTCAAGATTCCTTTCACAAATCATGGCCGACCATGATGATCCCTATCTGCTCAGAAAGGCTATTCTTTCTCCTGCTCACAAAACCGACGGAAGTCAGGAACATCATCACCTCGAGGACAACCTAGGTTTCCGAGACGGACAGACTGCGTCTCCAAATTCAACTAACGCCCGACGCAGCGACAACCAATTCTTGGACAAGGGACATCCCAAGAATCCCATCAAGGAACTACCAGAAATATGCAACCAATTCCTATTCCTCTCAACACCGACCCAGCCATTACAGCGTTGCTCGCTGCCATCAATCAGACCAACGCCCTCATCTTACAACAAAACCAATGGATAAGGGCCTGGGAGAACAAGCCGTCGAGGTCTCTTCCTCGAAGAGCCTTACGAAGAGACTTCCCTAGTACATTACCACCTAGGCGTGGCCTTCCACCAAGAAAGGAGAAATGCGATATTTCTTTCTTCAAGAAACGCAACAGCACACCTCCTGCGAAAGATCAAGACTCCCCTTCATCCAAGAAGAGGAAAGACGACTGTCAAATTGACTATTCTCGAGTACTTTCTTCCGAACCAAGACAGAAACAGAGGAGTCCCTCCCCCCCGATGAGACCGCGATGATCGACAGGGTAGAAATTATCACTCCCCTTCTCCGTTCCTCGCAGATAGTGAAGACGATGAGCCCCGTGACCCTTTATCAAGGGAAATTACAGAAGACCCACTCTCTGTCGGCTTGGAGAAGCCACCTCCATTGGGAACCTACGATGGAACAACGGACCCCGACGAGCATATTGAGAACATTGACACTCTCCTCGATAACCGAGGAGTCAGAGGGGCCATCAAATACAGATTGTTCACAACCACTCTCAGGAAGGGAGAATTGTCTTGGTACAAGAGTCTCCCGATGAATCCATCACCTCCTGGAAGCAGCTCGGGAGAATATTTTTTGAGATATTTCACCGCCTCCCGTCGACACCCGAAGTCAGAGGCTTCGCTCGAAGCAATCCTCCAGGACAAAGACGAATCTCTGCGGGCATACATCGAATGCTTCAACAAGGAAGCATTCCAAGCCTCAACGACCGACAACATGAAGAAATATCTCCTTGAGCGTGGGTTGCATCCTCGCAGCGACTTTGCCAAAGCTGTGGGCATTGAGACACCGGCCACACTTGAATCCCTCCACCTCAAGGCCCATGCTTACATCCAGTACGAGGAGAAGGAAGCCGCTAACAACACTAGGGAATCAAGGCACAGAGAGAGTTCCAAGACCTCAAGGAATGACGAGCCCTCGACATCCCGCCGGGGAGAAAAGAAACGGGAAGACAAGTCCCGGGACTCCAAGGACTACAAGGGGTCAGCTGGTCATTTCCACGACTACACCCTCATGACTACCTCAAGGGAGCGTATTCTATCTGAATGCGCCAATTCTGAATTCAAGCAGGACAGGATGCGCTTCCCCCGACAAATGTCTTCCAAATCGGGAATCGATAAAAGCAAATATTGCAGGTTCCACAAAAGCCACGAACATAACACTGAGGATTGCATTCATCTCAAGGATGCAATCGAAATACTGATTCTAGATGGGCACCTCAAACAATACAAGAAGAAGGAGGGCACCCGCAAAGAAGCACCATAAAATAAAAACGCCGAAGAAGGGAAGAAGTCCCCCGACATCGACGCCATACCGGTCGCCATGAGCATCTCGCGACCGAAAGATTTCTACTACCCGGATATGGAGAACGTCCCGTTATACTTCTCCTCCTATAGACATTGGGAATCTTTCTCCGCAACCATGGCCATCTCCGGTGGGGGATTCAACAGACACACGGTTGGGTCGGTAAAAAGAAGATTCAACCAGCTCATCAAAGCCAACTCAGATATGGATGCCACGCTAGACAAATTCCAAGGAGGCTCCCATCCCCTCGCTTTCTACAGGGAGGAACTGTCGGGCGGAGCCCTGAATTCGACCATCCCACTACTCATGAGAGCTCACATGGTGAATTTCGACTGCGACACATATTGGTCGATTTAGGAAGCTCGGTGGAGATCATGACGCCCAGTTGTTCACCACCTTGCAGCTGAATGAAAGCCATTTGACCCCGTACATAGGATCAGATCTCCAGGGCTTCAATGGTGCCAACATGAAACCCTGGGGATATGTCGAGCTGATTGTCACCTTCGGGAGATGGGTAACAGCCAGAGCCATCAAGAACTAATTCTTGGTGGTGGATTGTCCGTCTCTCTACTAGGGTGTTGTACCCCAAAATTTCCCCTCCCATATTCTTCAAAGTTTTGACAAGCATCATCTCAATTTGCTCAAGTCTACTCAAGGGTTGCACAGTTCAAACACCCTCCTAAGCCAGTCCAATTAGGGTTTTGATTCCTTCAGTGAATTTGAAGTTTTCAAGGGCTCAATCAAGTCACATATGCCTATATACATTGTCAAGCATCTACATGCCAAGTTTCAAGGCTCACAGGGTCAAGTTGCACAGTCAAAAACCCTAGTTGCTCCACAATCAACTGTAGGGGTAAAATGGTCATTTGGC